ACTGCAGTCACACTTACAATGAGGATAGTACCAAATTAAAACAATTTTTATTATGACTGCTATTAGGATGTAAACAATACAAAACACACAGCAATTATCGCACAGATTGATTCAATCACCCTAGAGGGTAGCATTAACGAAGTCTGGATATATATTTGTACTTATCTAAGTCTACAGATATAATTACATAATATAGTACCATACTCACATACCCTCTTCGGCTGTGTCCAGACTCAGGGGTTTTTTCGAAAAAAGGCTACTTTTTTCGAAAAAACTTCACCTGCGTCTAGACTGCAGCCGCGTTCTTTCGAAATTAAATCGAAAAAATGCGGCTTTTCTTTCGACGGTGGTAAACCTAATTCCATGAGGAAGAACTCCTTCTTTTGAAAGTGCTCTTTCAAAAGAAGGCGTTCTTGAAAGCAAACAGGCTTTTTAGAAAGAGAGCATCCAGACTCACTGGGTGCTTTCTTTCGAAAAAGCGGCTTGCTTTTTCGAAAGTTCCGCGTGCAGTCTAGACGCGCTCTTTCGAAAGAGCCTCTTTCGAAAGAGGCTTGCAGTCTAGACATAGCCTTCCAGAAATCCCAGGTGATGGACGGGCCAGCCTCCCTCTGCTGGTGGAACTTGGATCTCAGTGAAAGGTGAAGTATGGAAAACTTAGATGCAGAGAAACTTAGAAAGAATAAGTAAAGTGAAACAACGATCTTTGAAGGATGTGAAGGAGAGAAATGCTTGATGAGAAGATGATTCCCTACTCCCGTCCACTGGAATAGCATTTTGAAGGCCTCTTTTGTAGGCGTCATCAGTAACCCCACTCCTTAAGGTCAAAAACAGATTTCCACACCCTGAGATTTTGTGGGTACACATACTTGATTGGATGGTGACTAAAATAACTTGATGCCCCTCTTGGACCAGTTCCCTGAAGTGATAAAAACGGGCACCTGCGGTTGGGTACAATGTCTTCTGTTTCCTCGATCAGGATGTCAGTTTGACTGGCTCTTGCATTTGTGAATCTTACAAGTCACTGAGTCACATATTTTATCCTGTCTGGTCATTATGTGTGTTCTGACTGATCTGAAGATTTTGCCACAATACATTTCACATCTTCTAAAGAGATATTAAGGATATTAAAATTAATTTCTAAAAAGATATTAGCCCTTACTTTCACACTGCAATACTGCTAAAGCTAACTTTATATAGGATAAAATTCCTGTGGACTTTGCATTACTGCCAGAATATAGTAAAAGGGATAAGCTAGGAAAGTAAGCAGATTTGCAAGCTACATGTGAGAGGCCTTTGGAGGCCAATTTTTTTGAATTAGCAGCACTGGATCATCCACACTAATGCCATTTTGAAATTACAATTTCTAAATAAGTGTTATTCCCTGAGGAAAGCCAGAGTACAGATTTTGAAATAACCAGCCCGTTTTTCGAAATAATGGGCTTGATAGCTTGGACACTCTACTTGTTATTTTGAAATAAGGAGTGTTGTTCTAAAATACCTCCCTAATGTAGATCAAGGCTAAGGGACTAAAAAAAAAAATGGTATCATGAACTTTCATGGGAAAACCCACTTCTTCAGATGAGTTGGAGAGGGAAAATGCGGGGGAGGGGACACAGAATTTGTAACTGAAAAAAAGAAAGAAAAGAGAGAGAAAAAGTACCTATCAACTGTAGAACTGGTGCTAATTAAGCTAATTGAATGGGCTGGAAGTGTCCCATACTTGGCTTTTGATGTAAATGAGGTATTAAATGCATGGGAAGCTGGTTATATAATGGGACATCCAGTTAATATCTTTGTTCAAGCCCAGGGAAACAGTGTCAAATTTGCATATGAAGGTGAATCCCGCACTCACTCTCTCTGTAATTGACTTGTGAAATTCCTTTGTGGAAAGATGGCTACTTTTAAATCCATGACTGAGTGCCCAGAGAGGTTAAAATCTTCCCTACAGGTTTATGTGTGTTACCATTTCTGATGTCTGACATGTGTCCATTTATCCTTTGCTGTACAGACTGTCCAGTTTGGCCAATATACATGGCACAGGAGAATTGCTGGCACTTGATGGCATATGTCACATTAGAGGATGTGCAGTAATATAAGCCCCTGTTGTGGTTGTTGTGGCTTATGTGGTTAAGTCTGTTGATGATGTCGCTTGTATAGATGCGTAGACAGACTTGGTAACGGGGTTTATAGCAGAGGTGGGTTCCTGTGTGAGTGTGTCTGCAGTATGATGTGTGGCTTCTGGAAAGGATTTGCTTCAGCTGAGGGGGTTGTCTGTAGGAGAGGATTGGCCAGTCTCCAAAGGCCTGTGGGAGTGAGGAATTATTTTCCAGGGTAGGGTGTAGATTCTCAGGGTATGTGTACACTGACACCCTAGTTCAAACTACGATGGCTAATGTAGGCATTCGAACTTGCAAATGAAGCACGGGATTTAAATATCCCGGGATTTATTTGAATGTTCCCGGACGCCGCCATTTTTAAATGCCCCGTAGTTCAAACTCCCTGCCCGCGGGTACACACGGCACGGACTAAGTAGTTTGAATAAAAGCTCCTAATTCGAACTACCATTACTCCTTCTTCACTGAGGAGTAATGGTGGTTGAATTTAGGAGATTTAATTTGAATTACCTAGTCTGTGCCGCATGTAGCTGCGGGCAGGGAGTTCGAACTACGGGGCATTTAATAATGGAAGTGCCTGGGAACATGCAAATAAAGCCCAGGATATTTAAATCCCGTGCTTCATTTGCAAGTTCGAATGCCTACATTAGCCACCCTAGTTCGAACTAGGGTGGCAGTGTAGACATACCCTCACTGATGTGCTGGAGGGGCTTAAGGTGGGAGCTGTAGTTGATGACTAGTTTGGGTGACGTGTAGATTAGAGAAGTCAGGGCTGATTAAAGCCTGTAATAATATCAACACTGCCTGAGTGCCACGTAGGTGTAATCATTTCTGCAGGGAGCAGACATTCCACTGGTGAGGAATGCAACCCTGCCGACTGTACTTATGCTTATCTCCACTGATACTACTTCAGTCACAGCAACTGATGTCATCACCAAAGTATTTCCCATAGACACCAGCTTTTTCAATGGAAGTAACAGAGAACTCATTGATGAGAAAATATGAGTGTGGACCTTCTGGATGCGATTCTGTCTGAGACAAATATTGGTATAGCCAACCCCAAATGTTCAAAATTGGCTCACCAAAATAATGAGATTCTGTAAAAGTAATAGATTTGACATTAATTTTATATGTCATTTGCTTTTTGAGGCACTGGGGTCACATTTTGAAATTTTCTGCACAGCTCAGAGGGTTATAAACATACTTTTTCTTTAAGAACAAAAGCTGAAATCATCACATAACCACCTGACTCCATGAGATGGAGCTTTAAGAGAAAAAATAATTATCATGCAAGGCATGACAAAATCATGAGACTGGCAATTCTGGCCGGGATATGTCTAGGCTTCAATTAAAAACCTGTCACTGGCCCAGCTGGCTCAGATTTATGGGTCTCCAGCTAAGGGCCTGTTTAACTGTGCTGTAGATATTCAGACTTGAGCTGTAGCCTGATTTCTGGGACCCTCCCAATTTTCTGGATCCTACAGCACATAATTTAGCCAAACAGCCCCTTACACCAATCGCTGTGAGCTCAAGTTGGCTGACATAGAACAATGACAATTTTTAAACTGGAGCATAGACATACCCTATAGTAAGTTGGTAGAGGCAGAAGATACTAAAACTTCTATCAGGGAAGAGCTCATAAAGAAAGGTGCCTTTTATTGTTTGTTTGTACTGTATATATTTTCTCCATGAAGAATAAAACTCTTCAGGTAAATTTTGATCTTAGATATACTGCTGTACATCCAGGGCAGCTAATCCGGATTTAAAATGGTATAATTGATGTCTGAATCTGGTGTCATATCACTTTTATTACTGCCATAGAATGAACTAGTACTTCAATAGCATATGCGTGATAGTCTCAAAGCTCTGACATGTTAAAGAAACCAAAAAATAAAACTGGTTTCTGTGGTAAAGTTCCAAGAGCTGGAGAAAGGAAGTTTGTTTTGATGAATTATGTTTCTCTTGTCAGCTCTTAGCAACTGAGTTAAACTGGGTTGCAGCTGATGCTGGCTGAGATTGTTGCTTTCTCTCTGAAGAGATAGATGTAAGGGGGAGTTTATTGAGTGATCATCTGTCACTACATTGTGCTTCATTTGTCTTTGTGAAATCATGAAATCATGTGAGATCTTGATGGGTGTGAAATTAATTAGTATCAGTGCTTTCTAAAATGACAGAAAACATTTGTAGCCCACTCTGGGTAGTTGTAAAAAGGATAGCTTGAGGCTCACTATTTTTTGAACTACAACCCCCTATCCTTCAATTATACCTATTCAGAGTTCATTTACTTAAGATAATCTCCAGACAAATGTATAGTTGTGCCCATACAGATGTGATTGCAGAAATGGGGCCTTCACCAGTGAATCTCAGTAAATCAGTGTAGATTTAGGTCACTCTAATAAGCAGATCATTTTTGGTATGTATATATAACATTTCTACCTCTTCCCCGTTGAAAAGAACATTTTCAGTGGAATATGCCATTTCCTATAAATGGAAATGTTTCAGAGAGACATCTTAGTTTCCATTAAACTTTCATTAAATATCTGAAAGGAGTTTTCTGGCTCTGGGACAGAGACAGAGTCCATAGTAGTGAAAAGGAGACTGGGATGCAATGTAGAAAACCCAATCCCTTTTTGATCTACCTTGGAGGATGGAGAATCCATTTCAAGTCTTTGCTCTGCCTGATTCAAAACAAGAGTTCGGATCTCAGTTCTCTACCTTCCAAAGCAGGTCTCCTAACCATCCACCCATAAAGCATGTGACACACTCACACATTTTCATTTTTCTCAAGTACAGAACAAAGACAAATTCTGAAACCTCAAAAGTTGCCAGAAAATGAAATTGTCATCTTCCAGTCAGGTCTATTTAAGTTGCTTACCTACATTGCTTACCTACATTATGGCCAGAAGTAGGATGTGGACAGTGCAAGAAATTCCCAGGTACTTTGGACATTTTGCTTTTCTGCTCTGCTTTTAGAATCTAAATGCTGCCAAAACATGTGGTCTAATTCACAGCAAAAAATACAGGAAAAGATAAAATGTTATGAGATATTTATGTCATTAGATAAGGATAGATTTTGCTTTATTGGACCAATTAAATAAGTGATAAATATTATATTGAAAGCAGTGTCCATCTTCTTACTAACCTGAGAATAATATGTACAAAGGGGAACTCAAATTTTCTGTTATAATACTGAGACACTCATTAGTTGCCAATAATGAAGTGGGATTCCTTAGTACCTTTCCAGCAGAGACCTAGGAATTCAAATTGTTTTTCACAACCAAGGAAGTTGTCTCCCCTGGCTTTGGCAGCCCCAGAGGCTGATCAAGAGCTACTCTGCTTGATTCTACTTGGTATTTTTTCTTTAAATGTGTCTTACCTATTAATTAAAGCTAATTGCTCGCTCTACTATAAAGAAAAAGATTGATGTGCACTCACTTGATATTAGGAAATCTGGAATGTTAAAAGGCATGTTTTCACCTGATCTAATCATCCAGGATACCTTTGAAATGATCAAAGTCTGTCTTTGATCATCCAATGTAATCAGACTGTGATGCCAACAGAGTTAACAGTTAGTACGTCTGAAAGTTTTACTGCTGTAAGGTGCACTGATGTAGCCCGCTAGGAATATAACATCAATATCTTTTCAAGCACATTGAAACATAATAGATTTATTTTTATTCATTTTTGCATTGGAGTATGCCCTTAGAACTCTTCAGGATCTCATCATTGTCAGTGGTGCTGACCTTTGACACTTTCCATTGTCAAAAACAGTCATTCCATTTATTATAGGTGTCACAAGCTCATCATGTGAGGTGAGATTATTGGCTGACTGCACATGAAGAGATCCAGAGGCATAGCGAGGGGGAGGGGAGAGGGAGACAGGGAGGGCAGTTGCTCCCGGGCACCATGCTAGGGGGGCACTGGGCTGGGGTGGGAGCAGAGCACACAGCCCCAAGCATCGCAGTGAGCCTGGCACTGCTGGGCCACATGCTCCCTATGCAATCAAGCCTCTGAGGCAGGGCTGGGCGGCAGAAGTGGCCTCTTCAAAAGTAGGGTTACCCGTACCTCCAGTGCCTGGCTCTGGGGGAGGGATGGGTCATTGGGTTAGAGCAGTGGGCTTGAGTGCCTGGCTCTGGGGGAGGGGACAGTGGTCTGGGGCTGCCTGGCTCTGTGGGAGGGGTGGGTGCATTGGGTTAGAGCAGGGGGAGGAGCTGAGGGTGCCTGGCTCTGGGGAAGGGATAGGACATTGGGTTAGAGCAGTGGGCTGGGGCTTCCTGGCTCTGGGGGAGGGGGCTTGGGATTGCCTGGCTTTGCGGGAGGGATGGGGCTTTGGGTTAGAGTGATGGGATGGGGCTGTCTGGCTCTGGGGGAATGCCTGCTCTACCTCAGCTGGTGCTGGATAATCAGGGCCTCAATTCTAAAGGAGTTGGCATTGTTATTTCCCATTCATCTGTCTTCAAGTGTAGAGTAAATTGGAGCTCTACATGTGGGGTTGGATCCTAAACTTGTATCCCTTTGATTCAGAAAACATTCTGGAAACTTATATTAAGAATTAAATGTTGTAAAACTTAAAATAGGTTTTGGTATTACCTATTATTAGCTTGAAACATGAATGGACACCATGGGGAAAAAGAGTCATTTGTGGCTTGCACTCCTTTCTGAATCATTTCTTAGATATTTTTACCATTTTTTAAAGCAGCATCTATGATGACAACTGAAAACTTTCCATTTGAATCCAGATAAACTCAATAGACACACCTTACTCTTAGAAACTGAGTGATGGGTAAGTTCTTGTTAAAATTATAAGCCTCATAGCCAGAAGCTAGAAGTAAAGTGTTTCTGTCAGTAGGTTTCCAATATAAATTGGCTGCAATCTACTCTCCATCCAAGTACAGAATAACAACATTCAAGAATTTCACTAGAGGGAATGGATCAATAAATAGAGAATTTCAATTCTGGATTAAATGCATTATCCCCTTGAGTATCATGTTACTTCTGTGCTTTTTGAGATGGTTCCTTTCAAAATGTACTTGGTATGGTTACAGCTACTTCATGATGGATTTGCTTCACTACTGTCTTGTACCACATATTGTCATTTACACATTGATGAAAAGTGAGTATAAATTGCTTCAAAAATCAGAATGGTGGGTCTTTCTTACTTATGTAAATAACTACCCATGTAGAGAATCCTATTAAATAATCTCTATACCAGATAATCAGTCAGTGTTAACAGACACAGTCCTACTGAAGCCACTGGCTGATTTATATCAAGGATCTGGTACTCCGTTTTATGCATACACTGGTTTATGTAATGCACAGATTTTTCAAAAGATACATGGTTTTTTTTAGATGTGTCACAAGGCATATTGACATTGGAAGCAACTCCAAATTTGGTATTAGAAGCAATGAAAACAACTCTCATCATCATCGTCATTAACAACCATGGGCTCAACTCCCGCAAACAACCCTGCTTCTCCACAACATTCCTACCAGATATAACCAGTACAGGCTTTTGTATGAAATGTAAGTCCAAATGGAAGAAAAAAAACCCTATGTGCAACCTCAAATTATGTACTGACCTCAAGTTATCTAAGTTTAGTATTAAATATATGCAACCATGATTAAATTGCTGTGGATGACAACAGAATTTCACATATATCCTAAACTTTTCCTTCATTTGTTCCCATTTAAATTGTTTACATATCACCCCTTTTGTCCCATGTGGCTAGCCAAAATTCAGAATCTCATAGATTTTTCAAGCTGGGAAGAGATATTGGTGATCAATGATCTGGTATTTTTTACGCAGTTTCTTTATTTTTAAATAATGTAGTCCTGCTTCCCTGAATACTACAAGATCCAGAATAATGGAGGATAGAGTGTTGTGCTGTGAACACACACACACACACACACACACACACACACACACACACACACACACACACACACACACACACACACGACCCTTTTGCCCAAGCCATAGGAGTTTCTGAGTTACTTTGGTTATGTCTTTGTCTTGTTTCCTCCATTTAACTTTCATGAAGGGCAGTTGTCCGTTTAAGTGGGTTGGTTTCAGTTTCTAACAGTGCACATGCTTAGGCAACTACAGAAATGTATAATTAAAAATTCCAGTTTCCATCCAAAATGGTATTACTTGAAAGTTGTTTTATGTAAGGTAAATTAACAAACATTGACTGATTTCAAACCCATTAGCTATGGATAGATATCCACCTGTCAATAGATCCACCTGTCAATAGATGCACCAGACATCACAGCAATTGAGCTACCCTCTCATTCCTAAGGGCAGAGTCTCCAGGTCACAAGGCTGTTTTGCTCAATACTGCATCATGCCTCATAACTCATGTGAAATGCTAATGCTGAGGTGTCCTCAGTCCTTAGTAGATTCCAGAAAAGTTGAGAGTTTAGCATCTGGACTCATAGAAATTGGAGTGGCAACAATCTCCTTCTCTACACCCCTTATGCCAGTAGAGTTTTGATCCACAGAGCACATTCTACTGATATCCACTTTTATTTTAACTGTAGCAAAATGAGGTGGCATCCTTTGGTTTCTTGGAATAAGGTGTTTAAAACAAACAAAGATAAGAAGACAAAATGCTTTTCCTGGGATTGATTAATAGTTTTTGGACTCAAAAGAACCAGACATGCTGAACAAAGCAAACTGAAATTACCCCAGGGTTAAAAGGCTAACAACATGCTCTATAATTAGGGCAATATACATCTAATAATGATGGGTGGATGAAAGACAAATTCTCATTTTTATAGTACATTCTATTAACAAAATAATTTAGCAGTGTCACCTGACTTATAAGAAAAGGACTAGTCATAAATGCAGGGCTTGTTTTAAACATGAAAAGAGATTATGATTGATTGATTGATTGATTGACAACCACTCTCTTCCCCCACATAATTATGTTCTAGAAGCAAGGGCTAGCTCCAAAAGAATAGGTCTGAATTAAGTGAAAAGTGTATGGAAATGCTTCTGAGATTTGTCAGAGAAAATGTTCAGTGCTGGCAAAACTTGAGTAAAATCTTTTATTCTAGCCCCGAGCTATACACAAATACAAATTAATTGATAGGAAACCTGCCATTTGGGGTACCATTACATTTGGGTATAATAACACTGCAATGAAAGTCCAGGATCAGCTGCCTATGTGTTAGAGAACCCAGGGCTTCAATATCCACATTGATTGTTAAACCTAGGTTAAGCATTGTCTAGTCTGGACTCAAACCAGGGGCTCAAACAGCTACTCTGCAGCATGCAGACCTGAGCATTTTCATCTTTAAAACAAGCCCTGCAATCATGACTAATGGTTTTTCTTCTGTGTTAACTGAGCCTGTATAGACGCTGCAAAGCAATAGATTCGAACCCTGAGTCGAGTCTTGGTCCTGGCTCAGATCCTGAAGCCCTATGGAATAATGGGACCTTGGCAGAAGGGTGGTGGTTAGACTTGAGATGGAGTCTGACCCCAGGTTTATACTGCAGTGTGGCTGTATCATCTACTTTGTAAAAGAAGAAGTGGCATTTTTGGCAAAAATGCTCCTCCCCTTCTCAGTGCATTTGGGGAGGTGCATGGAAGAAGGGCTTCTCTGGCTCTCATTGGCTACCCAATAGAATGAGGGAAGCCAATTGACTCTCACAATAACTACTTGTCAATTTAAAGTATTTTGGGGCATCTGAAGACCATCTTCCTGTAATTGCTGCCCCATCTTTCCCTCTCAGTGATTAAAATATATTGAGCTCAGTTTCCAGGATGCTATAAGCTGCCTGTTTGGGGGAACAGGGAGGATTTTTTTTTCCACTGGGTCAAATTGGGGTACAGATCAGGAGAGTTTTTCACCTTTGCTGAGTCATGATGGACCAGTTTGGATTAAAAAGAATAAGAAGAAAATTTTAAATTTTAGGAGGTAATAAAAATGTTGAGTTCATCAAAACTTCTGGCTTATGTCTATTGCAGATTGCCTTCTGAGGCACCTGGCATTGGCCACTATCAGAAAACAGGATAATGGGCTGGATGGAACTTTGATCTGACCTGATATGGGCATTTTTTATATTCTTACATTGATAAAGGTTGAAAAGACCAACTCTTCAAGGTAGAGTAAATCCAGGATTTTTGCTGGAGGACCTTTTGCCTATAAGGTCTTCACAGACTGAGATCCCCTTTGATACCCTTCATCCCTTTGCAGTGGGGATGGTGATAGGATTCAGAAGTGAGCTGGATCCTAGAAATACACTGAATAGTGTCAACTCCAACTTATTGTTTATATGGTAGGAGCCCTGAATCTCCATACTGGATCCAATAAAATGCCTGATACTTGGCAGAGTGTAGGCAGATACCACTTATCTCCATTGTTAATAAAGCTGTTACCTGACATATCCATTCCTGTATCTTTCATTTATCTGTGTGTCTTGATCAGAGTCAGTTTCTGGTAGCTTTTAATAACCATGCTAGGATATTTACAATTTCTGTTCACTTGGTGTATGCCACACTTCCCAGTAAACTGAGAGTCTGCACCTTCATTGAAGTAAGGTTTTGCTCACTTTTGGTCAATAGGATCTTTGCTATTGACTTCAGTGGGAGCAGGATTAGGTCCATTTTCATCTGTGAGCTCTTTGTATGTTGCAAATGATTCCTTTTAGTAGCCACCCTTCTTCTTCTCCCCTGCCACTAGTCTTCAAGCTGCTTTCTTACAGCTACTTGGTTATTTTGCAGTGCAAGGAAATCCAAACAAAAATCTACAACTCTGAACTAGTAAGTAGGAGAAAAGGATGCTTTTATTTCCCTGATTCTGTGAAAAGTTGATTGCAACCATTTTCCTCAAAAGACGTTTTTCCCCAGAGTTGATTTCCACAGGGTCATGTTTTTACTGTGAGCAATGGCTGATTTTGAAGGTAATACTTTGCTCCAAACCCAGCTTGATATTTTACCGTGTAGGCCTCCTCTATATGATGGTTTATTGTTATTACTTTAAATCATTGAAACATTTTGCTGGTTTTTTAAATCCTCAGCTACAATAAAAGCACAAGGATGTAAGCAAAAGGCTGATTAATTTTCATGCCAACCAACCTTGACAGCCCCCTCTGAGTAACAAATAGAGTAGTAAACTAACTGAAAACCATAAAACAAAGTTGGGTGAAAAGTGATTAATGTTTGTCTTTTG